AATTCTCCGGCCGAAGCTCCTAAATAAACCCATCAGTGTTTGACATCAAAGCTCCTGCTCTCCCGTGTCTCCTTCATGAGTCTGTGACTCCCACTGCATTGCTACACAGAAGTTTCCCCCACAGCTAGCAAGTGTGTTAGAATCTCAGATTTTAGGACAATACATAGACAGGAATGTGAAAACAACACCCTAGAGACCAGCTGCACACAGATATAACTAGTAGTGTCAAGTTTGGACATGTAAGGTGGCATAAACATAAGAAGAACAAAGGAACTTCACCAGGAAGAATATGAATGAACACAAAAATGAACACGTACCTCCATTTTCTGATCTGTGAGAGAGACTGGGGATTTTCCACTGTATCGTCTGCTGCTCTGGATTCCTTTATGAGAAAGTGTTGTGAGACAATGTTGCAGTCTGATATGCATTAGGAACAGTTTACCTACAAAATCACCTTTTGTATATCAACTACTCACCCTGTGTTACCTTTATTTCGTGAAGATAACTTTGTTTTTCTTACAAGCCTCCACGGTGAAGGAAGAATCAGAAACGGAACAAATAGCAAGATATCTTTTTATAAACTCTTATAAAACCTGTGCAGTATAATCCAAGTCTTATTCATCCACTTCTAGGCTCACTATTTCACAAACAAATACATTTTTACTAAAACTGTACTATTTTAAACAGCATAAACCTTACAAGCATGGACAAAAAGCGCACCTGCACAAGTGTGAGACTATTTATGTGGGCGTTTTGATATAGTAAGCTGTGAACTTATTATGAATTATTATATTCTGCGTTCACGCATGCGAGGTGACAAAGTTTTCTTCAAGAATTCAAGGTAACATGGGTGGAGTAATTGATATACAAATGATCATTTTGGGTATTCTTTTGATTGGTAGAAAGTAAATTTGGCCTTATTCCATTATTACAGGAAAACTTGAAGATAGTGTTGACACATATACCATTTTCCACTTCATTATGGAAACATTTACGTTTTAAAATCAAAACCTAGCATCTAAACATTCTATTTCTTTGGCAGAAGTGCAAACAAAGTATGATACGTTAGCTTCTATACAAACCTTTATGTGTGAGTGCCACTGTTTTGTTTCAATCGAGTGGTGCAGTGACATATTTGTGTAAACCGACCAGGAAGTAAGCATAGCAAGGGCTTCCTTGACAATAAGCATGGGCATTTTCCGTTGGATTTAGGAACATTGTAGAAAATAAACTCTGCGGCAAACTTTTTGCTGCAGGAACATTTCCATATAATAACAACACTTTTGAAGTTTAACTGTAACACACTGAGTAAAAAGCTAACGCTAGGCTATAAATGAACAACATCACAGGCATATGACTTCATGTCTCTGTCGCTAGGCTAAAGGCGGCTAATGTTCAGCGTGAGGATGTTTAGTAGTCCTATTTAGCCACATGTTTGCAACTGCTGTTTTTTGACATTCACCAGTGGGGTATTTACTGACATATTTCATGTTTTAGAACAAAAGTTAAAATACTTTAAGCTTGTGTTAACCACATATCTCATATCAAGTATCGGACCAAATTACCGCATAAAAAACATTGACTGCATGATGAGGGAACCGCACTGTAAGTGGTAAAATACCAACTAATTTCCAGGTTTCAGGACTCATCCCTGGACCACTCTTCTGATCTTTACCACTACAGTGCACCCATTTCATCATTTAACATTTGTAGCTATACTCCCCACAACGGCCACCCCTTCAGCCCCTAGAGATGGTGCTTTATGAAAGGACTCCTTACCAGGTGGCGGGGGGGATCATGGCCTGGAGTTTGGCCATGCCTCCATCCACAGGAACCAGGAACTGGAGGTTGTGTAGTGGCACAGGGGCGGCCATGGCCTCTGTGTTGTATTTGTAGTCTATTCTCAAGTCTGTGCTGGTGGCGTCGCCTCGCCAGCTCACCGCCAGGTTCAGAGGAGAGGACTGGATCCCCTCTGCAGACACCTGAGAATCATGGAAACACAATGAGGGGGGGGGGAGGGGGTCATGTGGATGGATATTATAGATCAACTAGATACATAGACGAGGGGATATTTGATACCTGATATTTGATCATGTCCACGTTATAGTATGTCGCCTGAGGCTTCTGCTCAGCCACTCTCTTCAGATGGCTCATCAGGTTTGGCATATTCACCCAGAATTCCTTGGTGTCTACACTTTCTGTTGTGGAATCACTGAGGGACGAGAGAGATTATTTTGATTCAAACAATCTACTCCATTTACCATGTGAGCATTAATATAAGACACTTAATTATATCATATACAAGTAGAGTGATATATTGAATATACTAAATGTATAGCGGCACATTTTTCTGTGGGATGTATTAAATGATTGTTGGCATAAGCTTCTCTTTACTGTTCCCCTTCTCTCTGAGATCTCTCCCCCACCGACACACTCTCCTAAGTGAGTGTGTGTGGTGTATGGTTCATCTGTTTTAATATATAGAATTTCTTTTTGAGATTTTATATGTGTTGAGGTCGAAAAAGCCCAATGGATAATGTCAGCATGATTCGGAAAAAGAGTACTAACCAGCCACCCCTTTATTTTATGAGACGTGCACATACAAGGTATTACATTAAGAGTGTATAAGAAGTGATTTTAAAATAAAAGTGTCCAAGAACTAAAATAAACGTGACTCTATAGTAGTTCAAAAAGTTAATCAGTCAATAAAAATCTAATAAATCAAATGAAAAATATTCATATTCAAGAATACATTTCCTGTGACCAATCTGAGATACTTAAAACAAACAGTAAAACACCACCACGATGCTGAATGATCATACTTTCCAAAGGTTACAAATCAAACATATTTTATGGAGAAGATATACAAAAATGATTTGTATCTTATATCAGAAGCCTAAAAATATTAAGATGTCATTATAAGCCCTACCCCTAAGAGCCCTAATAGCCCTGCCCTGCATGTATTAAAAATACAGACAAGTGAGACTATTGTGTGCCTGTAATGCTATTCTTACCAGCACAGCAGCTGAGGGTTGGGGAGGACCTGCTCCAGTCGGCTGTAGTTGCTGATGCAGAATGTGAGGATGGGTTGAGTCGGGTGGCTGGCAAAATGCCTGGTGATGCCCGCTGGGAAGGAAAGCACCATCTCCCCTGTGATCTTCACAACACATCTGGGACAGAGGGAGTGAAGAGGCAGATCTCAGAGATCATGCTGAACAAAAAAACACACACTCCCAGCTCCCCTTTAGTGTCCAAATTGAACAGCAAAGTCTGTGTGTAGCTGCCAAGAATATATCATTCCTCTAAAAACGACTCTTAACAAAATGAAAATCATTGCATATCAATGCATACCATTCATTAGAAGGGTAAAGGACACAGTGTTTAGAACAGAGAAATGTGGGCCTACTTGCTGGGGTCTGCGCCTTTGAAGTAGGCATTGATGGTTTCTGTGAAGGCAGCTGCCACTGGTAGAGTGTCCTGGGGCCCCATGGTGAGCGGACTGGGTCCTCTGGAGCATCCTGATGAAACACACACAAATGATACCTTTAACACACTTAGACTATGTCTATTCTCTGGGCTTTTTCTTCATATGCTCAAATGTTCAGCTATGGGTTATACGCAAATGATAGGAGAGGATTAAAAACAGGGTACCCCCAGGGTTCTCAAGTTAAATGTATTCAACTTTAATAATGTATGTTAGTAACTGTCACTGCACACAAAAGCTTTCCGGTCTTGGCGGTCTGCTCCCTTGGTAAAAATGTGTTAAGAACCTGCAGGTACCCTGATTAACAAAAAAACCTCATAACTCAACAATGCATCTAGAAAGCAGAATTTTCTGATTAAGCAGGACATGGGGTGGGATGGGCAGCAGTTCCTAGCATTGAAGGTGAACATGAAGAAGACTGCAGGTAGGCAGAGGGCAACCCATGCACTGTTGGGACTACATTCTGGCTCGACTTACCTTCAAAAGATAAATAAAACCTGCCGTGGTCAAACCATACTAGAGGCTGTGAGGCCTCTGAGTGAGACATGAGGAGGAGAGAGTCATGGAGAGGGACAAGACTGTGAGGCATGATGAGCGACAGGCAACATGGACGGATGAAAAACAGGAAGAGCACGATGACTTGTTAGTGTTGTACCTGCGCCGGACATGTTAAGGTCCCTTCCTAAGGTTGGAGTGGACGCTGCGCTGTGTAGGTTAACGGAGGAGATGGAGGAGGAGCTCTCTGCCCGGGCCAGGGGGGCGAAAGGCGGGGGGCTGCATGACACCGGCGGACTGAAGGGCCGAGACTGGACACAGAACGTTGAATTAGAAATCATTTGATATCAGTTTTAAAGGTCTCCTATTATACTATTTTTATGCATATATTATAGGTCTCAGATATATAAAAAACATGTCTATTCAGTGTTTTGTTCAAAATACCAAACAGATCACCCATTGTAGCCATGCCTCATACCCCTCTATTTCAGCCTGTTAGAGAAGTGCTGATTCTGGGTCCGTAGCTTTAAAAAAAAAAAAAACGAGAGACGAGAGCTCATGCAGGAGAATTCTACCCAGATACTCAGCTAAACGCTCACATGATTAAACGCCATATCATGTTCCAAACCACATCAAGGATTATTTCTGAAACAGTATGGAGCTCAAATGCTTTTTCTCTCACGTGTTTACCACAAGGTGAGTATCTTTTATATCCGGCTTCTTTACACACATATGACTTGCGCATTGTTTCTGATAGGGACGTTTCTGATTGGGCCGTAGGCGTAAAGCCAGCCCACATTTCCGATATTACGTCATATCGGACGCAAATCTGGATCAGCTCTGTTGTCCGTTTTTAGAGGGTTGTATTTTCGGACAGTTTGTGAGTCTACTGACACACTGGGGACACATATTTATGTATAAAAACATCAAAAAGTGCATTTTGCATTTCTGTTTTGCCTTTAACAGAAAAATGAAAGGACATTTCACACGTACCAGGTCTGTGATTGGCTTCCCCGGGGGCAGCTTTGGTCGCGAGGACGGTCGAGGAGGAGGAGGCGGGGGGACCGGGCTTCCTCGAGACTGAGGCGTGGCGGGACGAGCGGGGGACGAGGGGCCTGCGGCACATACCAGTGTCTGTGGTTAGCGCTGCCTTCAGATCACAGCGAGAGAGGTTATCATTCAACATAAGCTCCTACATCTCCACTCATGTCACTCACAGAGCGAGATGACCTCACAGGAGCGTGCTTCGGACAGTAAAGGGCCCTTCACACCATCTTATAATTATTGTTCTTGGTGTGGATGGCCCTTGACTTCTAACCAATAAGGTTTTGAAAAGGTGTATTTAACCAAATCTCCATTCTACAATTGATATATACAACAGAAAATACCTAACTTTCTCAGCAACAAAAAGAGGAGGTCAGCTGTTCCGGGATGCCAACACAATCACTTATTACTTTATCAATAAGCATGTGATAAATATACCCATTTGATAACTCCATTGACATTGCCCAATACACACCCCCAAGTGTCAAGTCTGTGTACCAATGTCCTATGTATCTTAAATTAAGAATATAGCTTAGCATCTATGTAACGGAGGTGATCTCTGGGGCCATAGATCTCGGCCTCCGTTACGGATTGTATAGCTTCGTTGGTGTTTTAGTTTGTCTGTCTCTGTTTCCTGTTTTATTTTCAAAAGTGTTCCCCCTCCCGTCTTGTCTGTTACTGGTGATTGTGGTCACCTGGTGCCCTGTGCTGTCTCCTCCCCCCTCACCTGTGTCTTGTTGGTTTGATTAGTCTGTGTGTATTTAGGTTTGCTTGTTAGTGTGTGTGTGAGGTCCTTGTGGCTGGTGACTGTGTTCAGGGGAGACAGTCATATTGAGGCTGTGTATCCTGTACCACAAAGAGGAATAAATGCCCAAACCGGGTTATATTTGAACTCTCTGCCTCTGCCTCCTTACTTGGTCGGGCTGCTCAACGGCCAGCTTCACAATCTATGATAAGGTTACTGGAGGGAAATTATAGAAGTATGTAGTTTTACAGAGTTAATGCTAAGGGTTAAGAGCAGAGAGGCTGTTACTCTATATTCATACCACTAGATGTCAGTAAGTAACTTAGAATTAAATCATGACATATGATGTTTCCAGTGACAATAATAACATCACGGTGTCATAGGGCAGTTTACGCCAATGTGTGTTCAAAATGTCCTCACTTCAGCACTTTATCCTGTTAGAGATGTGTGTATTATTGTCATAAATAGCAGATGTATTCTCCATCACAGGGAAATAGACATTTGAGTTAGTTTATCCTTGAGTCCATGCAGACTTTTTGACCAAGTTAAAGAAATGATCTCAAGGGATTCCTGAGATATTGCCTTCCTTAACAAGAATTGAGTGATGGACAACAACCCAAATCATTACGCCTTTCACTGACTTGGAGGCATCAAGATATGAATCATATTTATATGTACAGAAAAACAAATGGTAAACTCAAATGGTGACTGCTGTTCTGTAGCTGGTTCAGATTACGACCGAATTGAAATCAGATCTCTATCACCGAAAACACATTAGGCAGCGCAGCGGTGGCAAGGAGTCATGTTATGTGTGATTCAAGCAGGATATAATTGTTTGTTAATAGTGAGAGGTTTACTTTTTGAATTGTCGCCAAACTAAAACTATATCCAACTTTTAGTTTGGCAGAACATTACCGCAGACTCTAAAAGTGTATCTTGTTTGAATTCAATGAGTTAACTTTTGATAACAGGTTTATAATACACATAAAATAATGTTCGCTTCGACCATTCATCTGGTTACTTTTTCGTTGTGAATTAGTGTTTTTGTTCTTTTAGTACACTTTTTTAAAGACACTGTCCCTCTACTTCCCTACACTTGATTTTAAGTGTAATTCATTTGCCAAAAAAATTTACGAAATTCTTATTATAAATGATTTTGGCCAAGGTATACATGTAGCACTGTTGGCTGCATTCGTTTCAATTTCCGATCAGAATCCAAGCAATGTATAAAATGTGCAATGTATCTCACAAGATACAGAGGGTAAGTTAGAGAATAAAGCTATTTTGAAAGATATCATGAATGCCTAGATACATTACAAAAAATCCATTTGTTTTCCAAAATATAAATGTGTTTGCTCATTTAAGGGTTGAATACACCATCACCCTTTGTGTGCAAGCTGCATGACCCACTGTGAAGATGTGGAAAGAGTACTCACGGCTGCCTGAGGAGGGTCCCGGGGAAGACATGATAGACCTGTAGGTGGTAGGAGGAAGAGGGGGGGGCGTGCCCCTGAAGCTCGGCGTCAGCTCCCTGGGCGAACCTACAAAGTCTGAGATATCATCCCTTAGGTACGCTCCCTCTGGAGTCTTCTTCCCCCCAAAGCCCCCTAGGACCAGCGGGGATATGACTCCCGTCCGAGGAGACCACCGCTCTGCTGGCAGAGGGGGCACCGGGCTGGTGGGGGCCGGGGACGAACAATAAATTGCCTCTGCAAACTGCAGCACCTCCTCGTCGATCGCATCGTCGTCGAAACACATCGTAGGCGAAGTGGAGGGGGAGAAGTCGGGAGGCAGGGGAGGGGCCGGCTCATCTGGGGGTGGAGGTCTGAGCATGATGGAGGGGGGGGATTCAGGCGGCGTGAAAGGAGGAGGAGACCCGGGAGAGAGGAGGGGAGGCGAAGGAGGCGGCTCGTTTGGCGGTGGTCCTGGAGAGAGGCAAGGGGTGGAGGGGGTGGACGAGGGCGTGTCCGGTGGGGGGGAGTCCGGAGGCGGAGGGGGGGCGGGCTCATCTGGAGGCGGGGGTCTGTCGCTGGTGAATGTAACCCATCTGGGAGACATCGCTTCCTCGCTGGGGCGGGTCCCGTCCGTCGGGCCGAACACATCGTCCAGGTCGGGGACCGGGGGGCCGCGGTACGAGGCGGGGGACAGCACGTTCAGGTAGATGGGGGCAGAACTGCGACCTGCCCTGCCATTGGGTAGATCAGCTGCAAAGGGTTAAAGGTAGAATTTAGATCAAAGATTTGAAAGGATTTACCGGATGAATTATATTTAAAGCTTTATATTTACCAGCAGAGTCCGAAGAATAGCCGTAATGACTTCTGGATGGAATGTTTTTTGGAGGAAGCGGAGGAGGAGCTGAACAGGGATGAAAGTTCAGACAAGTTTAGCATGCCGTTCAGATATCAACATAGACAGAAATGAACACATCAAGACCAACGTATCGCTCAATTGGTAGAGCTAGCAGCCCATGTGTTGGTTCAACTCTGTCTTGGTTCAACTCTGTCTGTATAATAAAGGCATTGGTTGCAAAAAAATAAGATTATTCAATTAAAATAAGTATTATTATTTTCAATTAACTTAAGGCGAATAATCAAACACAAGGTGTTTTACAATAACTTTTAAGATCAAATACCAAAAATGGTGATGCCTAATTGCTGGTCACACACTAACATCGTTTTTAATAGCATGACACAGTATATACACCGTTGCCCATAAAATTCATTTTTCAGACACATTCCTCTTTTTAATTGTGGTTTAATTTTCACAATCATTTCATGAGAAGGTGTAAAAATGGTTTTATTCCAACTGTATGGGCAACAGTGTATATATATATAATTCACATACTGTGACTTATAATATATTTGTATAATACCTTATAATCACTGTTATGATACATTTGAATGTGATTATATTGGATTCATTATATTTTTGCTTTAATTAAAGCACTTATTGTGAATTAAAAACAATAACTAATAAATATAAAATGTCAGTGATTGAGCAGCAGTTATTAAGTTGTATAACATATAGTCATTATAAAGTCATGTCCAATGTTCTGTGCCCATTATAACTGTGATTATAAAGCTCTATAAGATTCCTATAACACATAACAAGTACGCATTATAGACATAAGAGTTATAGAAAGGGTAACAGAGTTGTATTTAAAGCTGACTCACCTCCTGTTGGGAAGCTTCTGCTCAGCGGGGATTCTGAGTGCCGTCCCGATTCTCCCCACGCATCTGCAGGGACCACTGTGATTGGATAACCATAAACAGACAATAAATGTCACATATTTAACTGGCAGTTCCTATGTGAATTGGTTAGTATAAATGAATGTGGCTTAATATGGATAAAGGACAGACCATCATATCTGGCATATCTGGTCTCTGAAGGCGGGCCAAAGAAAGCAGGAACGTTCTGCGAGAGCCTGTCACTGTAATAAGAAAAACCACAAAAAACATTTCACCTCTTTACAATTGAAATATCAACGGCTTACCAAAAACATACACACTGAATATAAGTGTATTAGTCCAATCAGTTGGCAACATTGCTAAAATAAGGACAGACCTCTGCGTCTCCGGGGCGGGACTTGGTGTTGGGGTGGAGCGTCTGGGTCTGGCAATCTCTTCACCTGCAGGAACACAACAAAAACTCTGTTGTTGCTCTTTGCACTTTTAATATTATCACATCAAATGTATAGAAATTGGCAATTGTGGTGTGGCTCGATGGATGGCCATGCTGGTCTGTTTGTCCGTCCACCACCTTAGTCCGGACTGGAATATAATATATCTGGATTGGCCCCAAATTTGATAAAGTAATATATTACAATCACTTGGGTGATTGTAACTTTTCATCAGGAGATATTATAAGAAAATAGAAAAATTCTATTTGTGCAAAACTGGCATTTCCATTACCCTCATCTGTACTTTGTGTTAAGCGCTAATTAGCAAATGTTAGCTTTAGAGAGACTAGCTTACTGTATATTGACAAAAGAAAGACAATAACTTTCCTCGCTTTTGGAGCACCTATATGGAGATTTTGAAAACTTTTGTTTACGTTTCTGGTAAATGTGTTGTATTCCATAAAGATAAAACCTTTTTAAAACAATTAGTTTGAGCAAATGTTAGCATGCTAACACGCTAACCTAAAATGGCTAACATGATTCATTCCCATTCTCCACTCCCATTCATACATCTTTTTGTAAACAAAATATGTCAGCAGTAGGTGTACTTACAGGACAAATTCCTTTTCATCTGCCCCTGTAAAAAAAAGAATCCAAACAAAAAGTAAAATAAGAAACAGACAATAGTACAACACAAGCACGTCACAGCTCATTTCATTCTTCCATTCAATTATAACACGTTTTATTTTCTTAAAACAAGTGACAAAGAAGTGAGATTAGGAGGAAATGTATAAACATTTATGTATGATAACTTCTGAGGCACAAACATATATTTTTAAATAAGGCAGGTCAATTTAGTCATATCAAGAAACATTATCAATCTTAAAAAACTGAGGTCTAGACAAAACATTACATATTTCACTTGTTTTAGGGACGATAATAATCTGAGGCCTTTCAACCTGGACTATATTACCTATTTTTTTAATCTAAGAGTCGAATTTAGTATGTCATACTTGTTATTGGAAGGCCAGTGTTGTCATATTGTGTTTCAGTACAAAAAGTGTAGATTAGTGTTATCTAAAAAATATTATTATATAATATTGTGGCAAAACATTTAGCTGTTTTCGGCAATGTGACATTTCAGAACAAGGACTTTTCCTTGAGCGAGATTTTGTTAGACAAAAAAACAAACCCTTACCCTAAACCGTTTGAAAGATATTGAGTTTAGGATTATATACATCAGTAAAAAAGCAGGAAATCTCTTCTTCTGCCATTTTTGCATGAAAGAAATCTGTCAATCTACTAATCGCTCTAATCAAAAAGGGCGCTTTGACACAACACGTGTGAAAAGTGGGTCCAGATTAATATACCAAATGTTCCCTTTATAACTGAATGATTGATTTAGACAGCAGAGATTAGAGAGCTGTGTTTCAGGATGCTGGCTCTGAAACAGCCAGCAGAGGGTGTAGAGAAACTCACCGGGCTGCGTCTCTGAGACCAGCAAAAAGGAAGAGAGAACAGACCTGGGTCAGAGAGTGAGTGACAAATCAGTCAAATGGACACCAACTAAAACTGCACACACACATCGCACCGCTTTACTTGCACCACAAAGCTTTCATAATGCAGCATGAGCCATAACACCCTTTGAGATTATGAGGAAAATACCAGCATCACTTACGACCGACATGCACAGTGGTTAATGTAGCAAGTTGCTCCGCATGTTAGCTCCAAATCAATGGGTTTATGTGTGGGTGTCTCTTAGTAGAGAAAGAAGAACTAAAATCCTTTACTTAAGTAGTGTATACCCTCTGTTTGCTTTTATTTAAGTGAAAGTAGAAATACTACCATTTTAGATTACTATCAAAAGTAAAAGTACTCAGTACACAGGATGGCTCTTTTGATGATATCATGCGGTGGCCGACAGGTGCAAACGCGCTGCAACGGCCCAAAACACTTCCATTAGGAGAAACATTGCAAATAAAAAACGCTGCAAGAAGTGATTAAAAAGTGATGCACACAGCTGGGACCGGAGTGCTTGTTGACGTTCAGGGATTATAAAGTTGGCCAACTGTCACTGTTGCAGAGTTAGTCTTTTCATAACTGTAAGTGTTTTGTCAGTTTCTTTGAAATGACTAGGTCAGCTACGTAAGCTACCTAGCTTACAGCACGTCTGCAAGAATCATTCGATCACATTGTTAAAATAACGAATAAAACTAACATTTTAGGTAAATTTACAGTGACAGTGACAGTGGGTCAACTTTATAATCCACGAACATCAACAAGCGCTCCACTCACAGCCGGGTGCATCACTTTTTAGTGTCCCTGTTTCCGTTGTGTTTTGAGCTTTTTGCAACATATTTTTTAAGTAAACCTTGCCCATATTTTGTCAAGTTGGTGAATGTTTTCTAAATGCTGCGCATGGGTTATCAAGTTGTTGAAGATGTTTCCTCATTTGCATGTGTTTTGGCACTTTTGTGTTTTTATCATTGCATCGTTTCGCGAAAATGTTTTGGCCGTGTTTGCACCAATCAGCCGCCGTATTTAATATCTTAAATTATTTGTTCTTTGTCAATTTTGAACCAAATTACTTCCAATTACTTCTTAAAATACTAGGTAGATTAGTATTGCATCATAAAAGCATTATCGTGTGTTTATATTTATACAAAGTGACTTCAGTAGCGGAGTTAAAATGAAATGTTTGCCTCCAAAATGTAATGGAGTAGAAGTATAATGTAGCATAGATTGAAAAACTCAAGTACCCGTTTGTAAAAACAGTACTTAATTGCAGTACTTGAGTAAATGTACTTCCACCACTGGCGTTATGTTTAATCTGCATTGTGTAACGCTTTGCCATTCAGGTTAAAGTAAAGCTCTAGCTAAACAGAAACCAAAGTCAACAAAAAGAAGTTGAGGGATTAGAAATGGTGAGACAGAAACTGCATGCAGAAAAAAGTGTTAGGCCAACAAAAGTGTTTATAAGGGAATTATCACGTTCTCATTTTTAAGTGAATTCATGCCATACGACCGCTGTTGCTGGTGAAACATAAATACAAAAAGACTTACCGGACTTCTCTTCTACAAGACGACAGCAGAAAAGTGAAGAAAAGACAAAACAAATACAGACTTTAACAGCTGTTACCCATCATGAACCTTCAGTGCTGTGTAGCAGAACAAGGGTTCAGATCAGCAGCGCTCACCAGAGACGGAGAGAGGGCCAGGCCCCCCACCGAGGCTTTCAGCTCGTCCATAGACGAGGGGACACACTTGGCACTGTCCGCCACCAGCGGCTTGATCCTGATTTTGAACTTCTTCTTGTTCTCCTCATCGTCCTCCGAGTCGCTGGAGGAGAAAAAGTGCTTTCCTCTGGAAGCTGGTGAACATTTGTCAAGGACAAAGTAACATCAGATGGAGGCTTAGTCACTCTTGTACAGAATTTTAAAATAGCATATTCTTTTAAAATGAGAGTGTGATGCTCTGTGTCTCAGTCTGCTGTATCTTACTAACTGTATTACACCTGCTGTTGATGAAACTCCAAACGATACTTCTTGGGCAAATGTTTATAATATTTTTCAAACAGAAAGCCACTGACACCTACATGAGCAAAGATATTGATGAAACAGTGAACATGCGGTCAATCTTAATGATGATTGTGTGCTCAATTAAAGCCAAGATGGGGCTACACAAATCTGGCCTGACCTTACATGAATCTGCAAAGTTTCTGTCCAAGCATCCGAATCCAAACCATGTCAGCAGGTTCTGATTCAAGGGGCCCTATTATCCAAATGTGCAGGTTCATATTTGTAGTCTTTGCCTCTACTGTGACATATTTCCATGCCTAAATGTTCAAAAAGCTATGGGAGAGGAACTCCCTCTGGAGGTAATTTTGGGATTTGAGCCTTTGCAGACCATTTACATGCATAAAAACCTATATAACACACTTCAAGAAAGGGAAAACCCCCAAAAGGAATATTGTTTTTTTTTTAAAGGCCACTTTTCCACAGTAAGAACAATTTAACATGCCATTGCCATAGAGATGGTATAACATTACTCCCTATTAATGACAGAAAAAATAAACTCGCGGGTCAAGTAGGTCAGGGCAGAGAACCAAAACTGTAGTCTGGCTGCCCTTCTTCTTTCTTTTTTTTTTTGGAACTGCAAGGACACACACATGTGATGTGGCAAGAGAGTGAAGGACTATTGATTTGGCCTATTTAATACAGCGAAGTACTCGTCCAAGGAGTCACTCAGCAGAACAGGTCAATAGTTTTGCAGGAGAAGAGTCCCAGGACTGCTTCTTCTCTCCTCAAAGGATATCATCGCCCTCGTCCCCGGGCCGGAGACTAAAGCCCTCGTCGTCCACGTCAGGAGAGGCCTGGAAAAGAGAGAGGACAAAGTCTGTTACACAATGTACAGTCACAGAGGCGTCGCTAAACTCTTCCCTGTGAACTGCTCTGCATATAAATATGGGTCAGATTTCACAAAAGTCTGGCTAGAAGCTCCTGCTGACTCACAGAATATGCAGCTAGCACTCTATTTGCAACGTTTACTCAGTAATATCAAACCGAACGATATATGTGACACTAATTGCAAGTGTGCTTGGTAAGAAATATTGAAAAAAAGGAGAAGCTGCGCAGACTTACATATCTGTCCCAGTCAATCTCCCCATAGAAACCATTGGGTGCTCCATTGGCTTTTTTCTAATTACAAAATGGACCAAAGAGAGAATAATGAAAAGAGAAGTTAGTATAAACATGTCAGTGTGAATGATCAATTGTGCTTACCTACTTTATTTACTAACTTTTTACTTTCAAAAAGTGTGGTTCAAATTAAATGTTGGCTTTTTATGACATGTTCGATTGTCTGACTTTTCAAGATTCGTGCTTTGGCAGACTTGGTAGTCATGCCGTGGCCAAAAACTACGTAAAGCAAGTTGTAATACATGGAAGTTATCCTCCAAAGGCAGTAACAGTTGCATTGTAAAATTCTGAATCAATGGATATAGTATGTATATCACAATATCACTTTTGTATTTGGATGATTTTTGTTGTTGAAAAGCACTGAGAAGAAGACAGACTAACAGAGAAAAGAACCTAACAAACTAGAAAACTATGTGAAATGTACATACACTTCCTTTTTTTCCGCTTCCGCTTCCTTCTTTGTCAGGTGAACCCCTGTTTTGACAAAAGGACAAGAATGTCAATTTTAGGAAAACAATATTTTAGGTTTGGCAATGATTTGATTATACTTTCGTAGATATAATCATGTTATTCTACAATATCCCTTTCTCTCATTTAACAAAAACAGTCTCAAATGTGAATGTTGTCAAAACAAAAACATCGGTACAAGAACCTTGCCTTAACAAAATTGACTAAAATTGGCAACATTTTGAATTATATAAAAAAATATTGTTTTAGAGAATACAAAAAATGCTAAACATTCTGTATTTGGCAAAGTTATATACTCAATGGTAGAGACATATTTCAGTCGGTAAAATGATTGAGCTTTGATACCCAGCCCTACTCATCCCCATTCTGTTTTCAGAGTTGGACGGTTGTAAACTCGGCTTGTTAGTTGTGTCTGAGCAAACTCACGTTCCATCCGTATCCCTGTCCTTCTTCTTTAAGCCCAGGGCTTTTCTGGTTCTGTTTTTGAGTCCTAGTGCAGAAAGTGGGAGAACAACATCATGAAGAATTAAATTAATGCTCTAGAGCAGTGCTTCTCAAAGTGTGTATATTGGTAAAATTTCACATTTGAAATAAATCAATTAATTTAAGTTTTCTGCACTCTCGCGGGAATATCTTCGCAATGGAGCGAGCTTAAGTTTAATTGATATAGCCCAGCGCAACACCTTCATCACACATGTTGCCACTTGTTTGTACCATTTTCAGGCGATTTGTAATCTGTTCTAGAAAATCGATGTGATTTTGGATATTTGTGGAGTTAGGTGGTCCACAAGTGTTTTATTATGGTTAAGTGGTCCTTGGTATGAAAAAGTTTGAGAAACACTGGTCTAGAGCCTAATATAAAGCTAATAGTCTTGTCATTACAATGAACTTAAAAGTAAATAACACCAAAGGGTAACAGGCTGATGTAGAGTAACTTGAGGATGATTCTGTCCTATTGGATACGCAGGAAATACAGTAACCAGTAACCACAATAAGATGATTTAAATTAACAAATCCATTCGGGACACAAACATCATCTGGAGAAAGCCTTCGCGTAAAATGAAGCAGCGCAAACGTAATCCTCTAAAGTGTCCCCTCCCTGTCTGAATTAAACAAACAAACATTGATCAATGTGTCCACTTCATTAGCGAGATTAAAGGCAGAGTGGGGGAAAGATCTACTATAGCAGCCATAGTCAGCCAAACTGGGTGCCAACTAGACCCCTGCAGCACAGACGGTTGGCACTATGCAGCGAGTCAGGACGGCTGGGACAACAGACAAATAATCATTCAACATGTGCAGAGCATGAAGATCTCTGCAGAACAAGGTATGTCTATGTAGAATTATAGTCGAATAGTTTATCTGTGTTTTTGATGCTGGTTTGTGGTGTCAATGACCAACCTATGTCACACATGCACTGCACCTCTGAAATGAGGTTAACACCGGTCAGTGGTACTTACATGTTTTATGTCTGACAAAAACATTTGAATATCTCTTAAGCTTAAGCTGATTTATTTTGTGATTTTAGTCTGCAACAATATTTACATTTTAAAAGAGTGTAGATACATTTGATGTAAATCAGTAACATTTAAAAAGATTGCATTCAGCAGCAGAAGCTAGTTAAAGCGAGTTAGCATGCAAACTTTCAGATTTTTTAACCAAGCATGCTCACATACTGAGGTTTATATTGTTGTTGAATTACTTTAGTGTGTTAGCATGCTTCACACTGATGTTTAGCATGCATTGTTGAGGTATTACTTTAATGTGTTAGCGTGCTAATATAGGCGTCTGCTGTTAACCATGCATCGATGTGGTAATAGTTTATCGTGTTAGAATGATAACATCCAGACATCTACTATGTATTTTTGTGGCACAAGTGTAGCATTTTAACAAGCTAACCTACAGATGTGAACCATGTCTATATGAATGTTTTGCTAATGTGTTAGCATGTTAACATTTGAATTGTAGGCCTAATAAAGCTTAGCTGAAGGTAGATACATTAGATGAATAGTAAAAGGGATGAATGATTTATTCTCTGGACATCACAAATGTCTGTATATTTTGTTATGGAAATCTTCCTAATAATAATTTATATATTTTCAGTCTGGACCAAGGTGATGGACTGAAAGACCAACTGAGCACAAACAGAGGCATTTCCATTTTGACTAGTGTAGCTAAAATAAGCAGATGATTAGACATTGACACCATTTGACATTGATGATTCAAAAAGGTCTGAGAGTTGTAGAATTCTCTGTCAAATAGAGCTGAATGGCTACTCAGTGTCTGTTTGTTTGTTTGTTTGTCTGTTTGTCCTGGTCTGTGGATACACAAACAACAGAGGCTAAGAAGGCTAACAAGCCGAGTTGTTCTAAGTGAGAATATTCCTGATTCTCTTAATAAATATGATTGTATTAAACATGTACTCGTCTGACACCTTAAATAACAAAAAGACAGTTGATCAGAAGTATAAAACACTGCAAGAAAATAAAATCATCTGAGTAGTATTCTCTCTTCTTTATGCGTTGGCTCGGTGTGGAACATGTTTCTTACAAGAGAGCACAGTTGGTTCTCACATCCATACAAGAGCAACAGGGACACGTGTGACAGACAGTTGGGTGGTGAACATTTTGTGCTATTCAGAGGACGCCTGTGGGCTGTTTTTGAAAACAAGAATACATGATTGCTCATTTATTTTTCTAATATGTAGTCCTGCCCTGAAAAGTAAATCAAACTGAATTTGAAATCAAATAAATATTGAGTCAGCACACACACACAGATTAAAACCCTGATAAGAATACATTCTATAAAAGGGAAGACTGGTGCTCAGTACCATTCACTTGGGAGGAAGCTCTCCAGTGTACTGAAGGACGTGTCAGGACCTGTGATGTATTAGCAGGGCTGCTCAATAGCACGGATTACTCCTGCATCACGACCTTTATCAGTGGAGACAGCTCTGAACAGCCAGCCTTCTGTCCACTCCTAACCTGCACGTGTGTTGTGTGATAAGGAGTCAAAATAGATATTCAAGCTCCACTTAATATGTGACAAACTTGCTAAAAGAATAGTAAACATACTGGGGGAGAAAAAGCAAACTGCTGCTTTTAGAAGCCAAGTGTGCCTGAGGAGAGCCCTACAACTCTCGTTAAACAGTGTAACTAAGGATATTAGCTGTAGTTCAGTTTGGGTCTTATTTGTGCTAATACTGCGAGAAAAGTTGGGCAATATTTCTGTTTAATATTTTTGCTAAGATCTAGAATATTTTGTTGTTATTTTGGCACATACTTGAGATTGGTGCTTTTTTACTAAAGAATGAGGTAATGATATTACTATATTTTTACAATTTTAACATCATTTGATTTTCAAATTAGAGTTTCAAATGCATGCCTCTATTCTTTCAGAAAATTGCTAAAAAACTTCCAAAATTTGAAAGCCGACATTTTGAGAGGTGAAGGACCTTTATCTTATTTTCTTTCAGAGAATAATGTTCAATTGTCAAGAATGTCCTCCTCCTCTCGTTTCAGCCCTCTATGTCTGTCCCTAATAATCTTCCGTACATATACTCCCATCACTTTCACTTTGGCATAAAATTCATCTTCACATGGTAAACCTCAAGTACACTTTTGGTGAATGTTCAAATGTATCAGGGAAACCTGAACATCATGAAAAAAGCGAATTATTCCATCCAAAACTGACACTGCACACTGTCTCTAAAACATCTGTTGGTTTCCCAAAAGCCTTGCTACAAAACTGAAATCATTTTCATGACCTCCAACTTTCTTGCTTTGAGAAACATTTATCAAGGGTCTAGATTTCTCTTAGCATTATCTTGTAGTATTTATTGACAGAAGGCTCCAGAGGAAGTCAATTTCTTCAAGAGCATTCAGCTGCATCTGGTGGCCTTTATCAATAGATGGAGTACAAACAGTGTGTGCAGATGAAGGCTACTAGATTACACTGAGAGCTCCAGAAGAAATGTGGATTTTGACTTAAGGCAATCTTAAGGTAATAAATTATACTTAAAGTTCAATTCTCTGACTGTCAGCAGCGGACTACTAAATCTCTGATAATGGAGTCTCAAAAAATATCTGAACAAACCAGCGTGGGAAGATGTACGTTATTGATACTGGTTGTCAGTTGTGCATAGGTGTGAACATTCTTTACACACCTTTCTCTGCTATAGCAACACTGACAGCCTAACAACACTATGCCTCAGTTACCAGTCATATAGAAATATTTTTGAATTACGGAGGAAAGACAAAACCAATCAACCAAGGTTGGGAAAAACTAGTTCCAAACAATCCCAAGGAAACGTAACTTAACTTGTTTAAAAGTACACCTAGAAATGGGGAAAGTTTTATTATCTGTTTGGATCTTTATTTTAATAATTGTTGGATATTTTTGAAATAGGGATGTAGGATATAATTGTGCAGATATCGGAAATGACAATCAATTCCAATTGATGCCAATGACTTGCCAAAATTATTGTGTATCCTTAGTGTTACATTTTAGAATAAGCCACTTATTTTGCAGTTGACAAAACAACAAGTGGCACCACCACCTACTGATATCTTATACCAATGAATACATGTAATATCATTCATATTACACATGATGATGTCTTGGTTTTCAGTCCAATTAGTTGTCTTTACAGTGTGGTCGGATGATCGATTTCCTTTTATAGTGTTGCCTGGAATGGATCACCTATCCATAAGGCTGCACTTTTTTGACAAGTTGATTTTCATACAGTCCTGGTATTAACTGCATCAAGAGGCAGCCTGAATAGATTGGTAACAATGCCATGCTCGGTTAAATGGACAACATTTGGGCCGTCCTCCACTAAAATAATAACCTCGATTCTGCCACTTAATTGATTCAATTGACTAGATCTGTTGAACATTATATACAAAAGTTACAGAAAGATCCATGCAAAAGTATCACCTAGAATCTGTGTTTGCCAAAGATGTCCTAATAGGTTTTTATATTTAATACGTCATAAAAATTGTGTAAAAGAATTATGAATCTATTCAAGAAATCTCTTTTAGTCGGTTAAGAACAAACCAACCATGAGGCGGGGGAGCCATTAGTGTAAAGTATGTATGATAGTTCGTTTTTGGGGCAGAACATAAAAAATAAATTAAAAAAAGTATTATGGAATCAATGTCAAACCACTGTAGTGTAAAAGGTTCCAAACAAGGTCATTTGCACAAGCTTGATCAAAGACTAACATCCCTTTTTGTACACTATGTAGTCTAACATTATAAGGCTTGTTCAGAGTATGTTTAAAATAATGTAGCTTTTCTATAATATGCTGCATAAACAAAACAGTTGTCATGTAACCTTCTGCACACTCCATGTCTGCGTCCAGATAACACCACTAAGTACACCTGACAGCCTACTGTACACAGTGGACTTAGCCACGCAGCTAACGAGGGCTAAGATGAGCATGTGACACGTGTGCTGTTGTATAGCTCAAGAACTGAGTACTATATCATGGCAGGCTGACTGCAGGCCTTTTTGCTAATAATAGCCAACTTCTATTACCACGTTGGCACTAATGGATGGTAAGGGCCCAGCATCTGTCATGGAGGGTTGGATAAATGATTCAGCTCCTCCATCCGAGTTTATTCCACTACTGTTTACTTTGCAACAGCAGCTGTAACTTTATTTAATGCAACATGAGCACTAAAGAAAGGCATGGTTCAAGGCATTGATTGGAATATTATATTAAGCTCTGATAGCACCAGAGGTTTGAATGAGTGCCGCTTCCTGTTCTTTTGAAACATGTATTTGTATGACTAAGTGTGTAACTAAAGGGAGCACACACACACACACACACACACACACACACACACACACACACACACACACACACACACACACACACACACACATACGTGTAAACACACACAGCAGGAGATTAGCAAGGCAGGACTACACTGCTCTTCCTTTACAAATCCACACCTCTGCTATCACCTGCGTTTTCTCCTAATGTGTCACTAACAACGCCACGCTCCCACACTGATATTGTCACACCGGTCATGCATGCAGCTCGACTCAAAGGTCCTCACGGTACGACGGATCTCATCACCGGGATTCAGGAGCTTTAACGGCCCCAGCAGGGACACGAGAGGGCAGGAGGAGGACGCAAAAGAAACCATGGGGAATAAAAGGAGCAGGAGGAAGAGCACTGATGATTTACCTTGCATCATGACTGCTGCTTTTCATCCTACGTGGCGCCCCCCCCTGGTGCGCAGAAATGGAGAAATCCAGCCGGTCAAAGGATGCTCGGGTAGGGCATAGCTAATTCCGCACAGCTCCCCCAGCGAAGCACGATTCCCCTCCACCCCCGAGGGCCCCCGACTCCCAGACACCCGCACAGGGAGGTGGGGTGGTAAAGAGCTTTGGAAGAGCAGAAGCAGCAGTGGCGGCGGTGCAGGACACGTCGAGAGGAGAAACCCGAGGAATATGCAGCAAATCGGGGGATGGGGAGGGGGCGTCCTCTCTGAGCGCACGTTAGGCCCCAGCCGCCCGAGCAGCACCGACACACGCCATCTCTGAGAGGGGGGATGCTGAGGAAAGGAGAAGGAGGGGAGGGGAAAAAAGCAGAGCGGTACAGAGAGAGAGAGGCGGAGAGAGAGGGGAGGGAGGGAGGGAGGGAGTGGGAGGCTTGGTGATGTCACATCTGCACTAAGCCAATCCCTGCAGCCATGGTCACATGGCCGCTGTCCCCTCAGCACCTCTCGGCTTGCCTTGAGCAGACACTCCACAGCCATCTGCATACATATTATACAAGGTCACACCAAATGGGTTGCATGGAATTAAGGAAAGAAAATAAGAGTTGAAACATTTCCAACATTTTAATCAGTGTGTCTAAATGTACATTTTCTTTAAAAAAAAATACATTTGTACATTTTTGCAGAATCATTTTAATGTGATTCATCACCTTTTCGTATAAGCGTATATATATCATTTTTAAAATATTATATATTTGATGTTATATATTCATATGTAAGCTAAACATTTATTTTTGTATAATTATATGTTATATTTTGTATGCCCTTTATTACTTCTTTATATTATTTTATTCATTATATTTTTTATATTATATGATATTAATTATTTATTATTATTTTATATACTGGTGGAATTTAGTACATTTACCTCAAAGTAACTCAAGTACTGTACTTAAGTATTTTTATATTTGTATTTCATGCTACTTTAGACTTTTACCATAACGATTTATTAAACTTTTGTTATATGAGTTTATTTTGATGCCAATACTTATGCACTTTTATTTAAGTAAGATGTTGCAAGACTTTTACTTGTAACTTGAATTGAGCGTAGCACATCTTGGTCCCCTATTATATATCCAGGACAGAGAGCAGCAGAGATATCTTTTTGAAAAAGGCATGACTCAACCACAGACATAAAAGGATACAAATAAGAGGTCAGGCGCTGTCTTCGAAACCCTTAAGTCTCCTTAAGTCCTTTGTTGAAATCATGAATAGACTGAAAAAAAGATATAACTGAAGAGGGGTTGGGTTGGTTAACCACATGATTCTGTCCTTGAGAGAGCGACAGTTAAAAACCCTGATAAAGAGGCCTTGGGTTTCTTAGGGAGGGGAGTTTTGTAATGCTTTGGCTTGGTTTGAGTGTTGAGAAGAGAAGTCTCTGAGTGATACCAGAATATAAAGCAATTGACAGCAAAGATAACAAGCAAAGTTATTGTCTGGAGCTAAATTAAGTCAGGTCAAAAATACATGCAAATTCAACAGATGTATATTGTAAATGGTTCATCATAAAGGGGAAAAGGTGTCCAAGTACCCCTCTGGAGTTTCAGACTACTACTAGTGGTCTTGAAATCACTGTGTTCATGCAACCAACAAGGAATATTAATGCACATGAGCATATAGTAAAATAAAAAGCTCAGGGTCTTGTAGTGAAAACAGATAGTTGAGTAGTTGTTTATATTGTTTGGTCCGCTGCTAGCTTGCGCCGCTACATACATCTGATTTGTTGCACGTCGGAGGCTCAGCGGTGTCAAGGTCAAAGTTCAATCATTTGAACCTTCGTTGCAGCGCTCAGCGACAATTTTCGAGCGATGCCGAGGCTAGTGTTGACGACGAGTCGGGCGTTACTGCATTCTCCATAAAAACACAACGGCAATGTCAGCGCAGACTTGTGTTACCGCGTATCATGTGAATGCAGCTTGACTCAAATAAGTCAATTTTTCCCTCTATTGTACTAAAAGGCCCAAAAGATAAATATTTCTCTCAATCAGTTTCAACTAAATTAAACGTTTCCACAGGAACTGTGTAGAGACGCCTAGTTTCTGCCACATTTCAAGCAAACTTGTTTTTCGTCATGGTGACATAGCGCACGTCTATTGACCAATCATAGAAATAATTCATTCAGAATGGGATAACAGTTGTTGCATATTTGATCAAACTACTCCTACTGGAGTAGCTTGTTATTCTGGATTTTAAGTGTTAAACTCTTAATGAATAATCGTAGCTTTAGCTGTTAGCTAATAATTGCTTTTACTGTAGCTTATCCATGCAGGAATATTTGAAACATACTTAAGACTTGATATATTTAGGAGCTTTAAAGAGAGATGAAATTGGAAACAACATACTAATCAAAAGAGACATATTTTTGAACAGTAGAGCTAAATAGGGAAAATAAATGGAGAAGAAGATAAGAGCGACAGTTGAGCCTACGGGTTGCCTCCAGGATACGGGAACCAAGGATGAGCAAGAAAGGGGCCAAGTCTTATATTGGATACATTAGAGTGGATGCAGTCCAAATACAGACAAAGTGCTTTAGCTGATGGATCAGAAAAATGTGGTTTGCAGATTATCTGAACAGAATGTGTGAGTATCATATTTACCTAACACTTCATTTCCATCTACAATCTGTGTGATGCTAACTAGTCTTCCCGGAAGTTAGCATTGCAAGGGTTGCCATGAAAGAAAGCAATGGGATTTTCCATTGGATTTCAGAATATTGCAGAAAAAAAGATATGTGAAAAGCACACGTTCATGACACTTAGATGTTTTGTTGAGAAGGATAATCTCCACATATTAACAAGTATACTAATATAATAGTCTAATGTTAGGCTATTAATTAAATAAATAATGCATGGCTTCACTCTCTATGTTTGGCGCAATGACTTTTAGTTGTGTCATTTAGCCACTAGTTAGCAAATTCAGTTTTAAAAACACCTAAAATGGTATTTATAAGTGTGGTATTTCCTTACGTATTCAATCCGTAGAACAAAACCTGCAAATCTCAAAACTTGTTTTTGAGACAAAAGTGCTGAGTTGCTAATGTGCTAATATGCTAACTACTGTAGTTTCCAGTGTCAGGACCTTTTCATGCACCACTCTTTATTAACTGCCATGTAACTGCAAATTGGGAGTTTGTTTGTATTGTTAGAAATGTGTGTCACACTGGAGGACGACAGTGTGTCTACCACCGCAGAGAACACACTGTCAGCTGTAATCATGACTCACATTTCCGCCCGGGAGAAAGACAGGGTGGCAGAGGACAAACATTTCCTACATCTGATACTGTGTTACGCTTTGGTAGAAAAAATGTATGTTTTAGTAAAAGCTATGGTATGGCTGCTTTGATAGCTGCTTATTGGAGCAGAGTGACTCAGCCTCACTGATAGGGGATGGACAGATGGGGGAAGGCAGTTAGAGGATAGTACCGTGGTGTGCGTGTGTGAGTGTGTGTATGTATTAGTATTGGGGGTAGACGTTTCTGCTGTGGAGGTCATGTCGTTTTCAAAGATGAACAAATAATAAAAACCCTGATGCTAATTGTAACCACATGGTATGTTTCTGTCCCGTGACTATTGTATGTCAGTGAGGTAGAGTGTCAGAGTGTGTAATCGGACCCAAACACTCCTCTGTAGGTTACTTGATATTGTTTGTATGCATAGAGAGTATAAGCCTTAATGCCCTTGAGTAAATTGAGTCAGATATGCTCTAAACCCGGAAATCCAGACTATTTAGGAAACACCTTCATCTGGTGTCATCACTTCCTTGATTTACTTTCCCCACTACTGCGGTTTATTTGTAGCTGTTGTTGGGCATCCAGGAGCAACTGATAATGAGCTTACCTAACCTGGCAATACACCACGGGCTGCTCCCGTATGCTTTTCTTAACCTGCTACTTACATAAGAGGCCATCGAGGGGTCAGAGGCGACAACAAGCAGGATTAACAAAGTAGAGCTGGACAGAGAAAAACACATGGAGAACTGTTGGCCCAGGATGACTTCATGTTTGGAAATGTGCTTCAGATGTACAGGGGAGAATGGAAACTGGGAATACATCATGAATGCTTCTGTTGGTGGAGGAAGTATTCAGATCTTTTATTTAAGTAAAGGGAGGTTGTAAAATGACAATGTGTAACTAATAAAAGTCATGTAAGGAAATTGTTACTAAAACTAATCAGGAAATGTACTAAGATATGAAAAATAAAAGGTGGATACGTTTCTCCTCTGTTTGACTGTCTGTTATATCATTGGATTTCTGACTAAATATATTGTATTGGACGGAAGCTAATAACCATTTTTGATTCTGTATTATTCTGCAAATCATTTTTTCCTTTTTTTTTGTTGTTGCATTGTTTGGTTTGTAAAAAAACTGCGAGAAGAGCTATTACAATAACCCATGTAAACCAGGGCCTTTTCCCCAAGTTTGTGTCGTTCGATCAGGTGCAGAGATCTCAAAATTCTTTAAAATAAAGAATGTGTGGAGAGAAACTCCCTCTGGGATTGTATCCTTTGCAGACCATTTACATGCACCAAAACCTAGAACACACTACAGGAAAGGGAAAACCCCCAAAAGCATAACAGTAACTTTCAAGTAAAAAAAATCTGTCACATATCTCTAGTAAACTGAAAAGTACATTATTTCCCTCAGAAATGTATGTAATAGAATTAAAAAGTGGCATAAAAATAAAAGACTCAGTTAAGTCACAAGTACCTCAAAAGTATACTAAATGACATAACCAAGAAGAAAATGGACTTAGATTATTCTGAATATCTTTGAGAAAATATGTCCAACGTACCAAGTGAAAAAAAGCCTCTTCCAGGTGGGTTGAGCTATGTTTTATTCCTCAACATATAAACCAAGCTGTATTATATTCATATAGATTAAATACAGGGTGATAATAAAAACGATGGATGATATATAATGGCTGACAGGATTACTATGTGCTGTAAATCCCTTTACTGTGTGTGGCTCTATACCGCCACCTACTGATGGAGTTATTGAGAGCTCATCATCAGCAGTGGTGGAAAGTACTACATTTAGTACTATGAGTAATATTCTTAAGAACAGTTTTTACTCCACTTCATTTACTTAACACAAACTATTATGAACTAATCATTTATCATGTTTTATTATAAAAGTTAGCATACACTTTATTATAGAGTGGCGAAGTCCCGCCCATCTACTTCCGAAATAAGGTCCCATGGGTCAGAAGTAGATGGGCGGGACTTCACCTCTCTATTCCCTTGTTGAAATGTACCA